TTGAGAAATACAACACCTCTGTGGGTTAATGTGCTGGACTGCAAGTTCAGCAGTTCACGTTCACCAGCTGCTCTTCAGAAACCCTTTACAGAGTCGCCATGGGTAGGTACCGACTTGATGACATTTTAACAACAGTAACACCTCTACAAGACAAACACAAACCAATCAGAAAATGGGCGTAAGACAGGAATAGACACCAAGGAAAACATTTAGCCAGCCAATGAACCTATGAAGAAATGTTCACAATCATTAGTCATTAGAGAGATGCAAACCAAAAGAACAAGATATCGTCTCACCCCAGCATTGATAGTGAAGTTAAAAACATAAATAACAGAATACTGGCGAGAGTGTGGAGCGACTGGAACGCTCCTACATTGCTGATGTGATGGGAGTGTAAAATGGTTCAACCACTGTGCATACTGGTATGGCACTTCTTCAGAAAGTTGGAAATAGAAATACCTTATGATCCAACAATTCCTCTATTTGGTATATCTCCACAAGAAGTAAGAGTCAGGGCGCAAGTAGATACATACACACCAGTGTTCTTTGCAGCTTTATTCACAATAGCAAAAAGATAGCCTAAATGCTCATCAATGGAAGAACAAATAAACAAACTATTGTACTTACACCCAAATGGAATACTGTGCAATGTTGAAGAATGACAGTGAATCAGCAAAACATAACATGGATGGACCTGGAAGACAATAAGCTGAATGAGATTGTTGTTGTTGTTGTCAGGTGCCATCGAGTTGGAACCGACTCATAGCGACCCCATGCACAGCAAAACGAAACAATGTCCGATCCTGGGCCAACCTCACTATTGCCGCCACACTTGACACCATCAATGATGCCACCTGGCCAATCCATCTCGTTGGGGGTCTTCCTCTTTTTCTCTGACCCTCCATCTTACCTAGCATGACATCCTTCTCCAGCGACTGTTCTCTCCGGACAATGTGTCCAAAGTAGGAGAGACGAAGGCTAGCCATCTTGGCCTCCAAGGAGCACTCTGGTTGCACTTCTATTGGTTCTTTTGGCAGCCCATGGCACTTTCAGTATTCTCCTCCAACACCACAACTCAAAGGCATCAATTCTTCTACAATCTTCCTTATTCACTGTCCAGCTTTTGCATCCATATGAGGTTATTGAAAATACCATGGCTTGGGTCAGGCGCACCTTAGTCATCAAGCTGACATCTCTACTCTTCAATACTTTAAAAAGTTCCTGTGCAGCAGATTTGCCCAATGCAATACGTCGTCTTATCTCTTGACTGCTGCTCCCGCGAGTGTTGATAGTTGATCCAAGAAGAATGAAGTCCTTGACAACTTCAATCTCTTCTCCATTGATAAGAATGCTGTTTATTAGTCCAGTGGTGAGGATTTTTGTTTTCTTTACATTGAGTCATATCCATATATAAGGCTGTGCTCTTTGATCTTCATCAGTAAATGTTTTAAGTCCTCTTCACTTACAGCAATCAAGGTTGTATCATCTGCATATCTCAGGTTGTTAATGAGTCTTCCTCCAATCCTGATGCCACGTTTTCCTTCATAGAACCCAGCTTCTCGTATTATTTGCACAGCATACATGTTGAACAAGTATGTTGAAAGAACACAACCCTGTCGCACACCTTTCCCAATTTTAAAACATTCAGTGTTCCATGTTCTGTTCGAACAACTGCCTCTAGTCAGTCACAAAACGAAAATATTTCATGACACCACAATAGTAATAACTCAAGAAAAGTTTTTCATATGGAAAAAAATATTCTTTGGTGGTTACCAGGGTTAGAAAAGAAGGGAGAGTAATTCACTGGGTAGGGGCAGACACATGTCAATTTGGGTGATGGGGAAGGCAATATACAAGAAGAGAGAGAACGGTATACAAGGAGAAGGAAGGTAGGCAGAGGAATAATGAAGAGAAGTGAAGACAAAGGGAGGTATGCAAGGGCTAAAGCAATAGAGGTAAATAGTCATAAATACACAACCTTTTTTGCTAAAGGTTATACAGAAGTGGCTACAATCATACATTTACAGACAACTTGCAGAGGTTCAAGCCAGATTCAGATGAGGCCGTGGAACAAGGGATATCATTACTAATGTCTGATGGATCTTGGCTGAAAGTAGAGACTATCAGAAAGATGTTTACCTGTGCTTTATTGACTATGCAAAGACTTTCGGTTGTTTGGATCATGACAAATTATGGACAACATTGCAAAGTATGACTATTCCAGAACACTTGTGTGAGGAATCTGTACCTGGACCAAGAAGGGGTTGTTCGAACAGAACATGGGAACACTGAATGTTTTGAAATTAAGAAAGGTGTGCTACAGGGTTGTATTCTTTCACTATAATTATTCAACCTGTATGCTGAGCAGATAATCCGAGAAGCTGGGTTTTATGAAGAAAAATGTGGCATCAGGATTGGAGGAAGACTCATTAGCAACCTGCGATATGCAGATGATACAACCTTGCTTGCTGAAAGTGAAGAGGACTTAAAACATTTACTGATGAAGATCAAAACGCACAGTCTTTGGTATGGATTATATCTCAATGTAAACAAAACCACTGGACCAATAAACAACATTCTTATCAACGGAGAAAAGATTGAAGTAGTCAAGAACTTCATTCTTCTTGGATCAATTATCAACACTCAAGGAAGCAGCAGTCAAGAAATCAAATGATGTATTTCATTAGGCAAATATGCTGCACAATACCTTTTTAGAGTGTTGAAGAGCAAAGATGCCATCTTGAGGACTAAGTTGTGCCTGACCCAAGCCATGGTATTTTCAATAATCTCATATGGATGCAAAAGCTGGACAGTGAATAAGGAAGACTACAGAAGAATTGATGCCTTTGAGTTATGTATGGTGTTGAAGAGAGTATTGAAGTGCCATGGGCTGCCAAAAGAACCAATAGATCCATGTTGGAAGAAGTGCAGCCAGAATGCTCCTTGGAGGCCAAGATGGCCAAACTTCGTCTCTCATACTTTGGACATATTGTCAGGAGAGACCAGTCGCTGGAGAAGGATCTCATGTTTGGTAAGGTGGAGGGTTAGAGAAAAATAGGAAGACCCCCAATGAGATGGATTGGCCAAGTAGCAGCATCGATGGACTCAAGTGTGGCAACAGTAGTGAGGTTGGCCCAGGATCGGACAGTGTTTCATTCTGCTGTGCATAAAGTCGCTATGGGTCGGTACTTGATGACACCTAACAACAACAACAACAGCACACAACCTTGGAACAACAGTGTTCTGTGGGGTAGATATATGGACAGAGATATATGCTGAATGGGTATGCGGGGAAGAGTGGGTGGGAGTGTACCCACAAATACATGAGTTCGAAAGACAGTATCTGTACATGGGTGTTTACCTTCCTTGCAAACACAGCTATGAATGTGGTAGAGCATACAGCGGGTAAATGATGAAAATTTCTTAGAGATTATCAAAAATCTTAAGGCAAAGACTTGCTGGGCCTGAGGGGTCACAACTGTAGTCTCAGGGGACACTTGTTGCCAATGGGATAACATAGTCCACAAAGACAATGTTCTACTACATCCTACTTTGGTGAGTAACATCTGGGGTCTTAAAAGCTCATGAGTGGCCACGAAAGGTACAGTTATTGGACTCCCCATGTGTGGAAGAAAGAAGAGTAGTGAGAATTGAAGATGCTTGGAATCAGTCAGTCCAGTGCACTAATGGATCATGTCAACATCAGTCTTCATGACTCTGAGAGCAGAAGAACTAGATGGTGCCTAGCTACCACTATCAAAGGCTCTGAAAGGGATCACATTAGACAGTTCCAGATAGAGTGAAAGGAGGTGTGTGAAAAACCCTCAAAGTTATATATATAAAAAAAAGATGGGCTTACTTGTCAGAAAGATACAGGAGGAACCAGAGACTATGGCCCTCAACTACCCTTCAGTTCTCTAAAGGAACCCACCTTTGTGCCCCAATTTTTAACCAATACTCACTGTGGAATGGTATATCATTTAAAATCAAACGGGCAACTTTTATGTAAGGACAAATTTGAGAAGGGATGGTAGGGTGGGTAGAATGGAAGTAGGAAGCACAGGGAGGAAGCAGGATAACTGTTGTTGCATGGAAGGGATAGTAATCATTGAGAGGAAACAAAGTGTATGATTTGTTGAATGTAAAACTGATGATCTTGTCTATAAACCTTCACTCAATTCATAATAAAAAAATAGTATGGTCAGTAGAAGTAGTCTTGGTAATAAAATGTCTGGGTGAGGAGATTTCTAAATGTTTAGGTAATTATGAAAATTATGAAACCTTAAAAAATGTTTAGGTAATTATGAAAACAGGATTTTTTTTTTTTTTTTTGGCAAAGAAACAGTATACTGTATTAGCTTCTCTTGCACTAATCCCTGAGTGGTTTAGTCTGAGACATGATGTGTATGGGCACATTCTGTCTGTCTGAACTTTGCTAGTGTGAAGGTCTGCTTGGGGTTGAAAGGTTCAGTATTGCATTAGATGACATTTTTATGAGTCACAGACATGTAGAGTGAAGTCTGCCTCTGGGAAGCTTGATCCTATATCCTATCCTTTAGCAGAATTCTTAGCTATCCATCTTAGTTGTGGTCAACCCTACCAAGCCTTTGAGTTTGAAAGATGGTGTACTTCAGGAATTTATTCAGGAAGACACACTGATGCAGCTTTGGCAGCCATTTGGTAGACGTCCAGGTATGGAAGGGCAGTTTCGTTCTTGATCTCTGTCCTTATCACTAGTTCAACCTGTTGTCCCACAAATACATGATGTGATGAGCATGTGCTCAAACTGAGAATGAACGGGATGTAGCACCTGGTACATCAAACAAAGATCAACACAGGCAGCGGCCACTTTTCATCTTCTGTAGTGATAACCTTTATCATCATCACCCGTGTGTCCTGCTGTGGACACAGGGTTCTACATCTAAGGCACCTACGGTGTGGGAATGCATCCAAGTGTGTGTTTTTAATGGTTGTTTTTTTTCCTCTGTGCCTCTGAACAGGTATCAATATTACCTGCAAGTGAAAAAAGACGTGCTTGAAGGACGACTACGTTGTACATTGGAACAGGTGATCCGGCTAGCTGGCTTAGCTGTGCAAGGTAAAATATGGTTATAATCACTGTGGGAAATTCTGTGTGACTCAAGTGGCCCTGCTTATTGTGACAAATGTGTATGTAACAAAACCTTTGCCATTTTAGTGTTTTTTCCATGCACAGTTCAGTGATACTAATTACATTCATCACTTGTTCAGCCGTTACCACTGTGTGTTTTCAGGTTTTTCCATCCGGCCTGGTAACAAAATGCTCATAGTCCCCTAAGCATTGACTCCCTTTTTCCATGTCTCGCCTGTTCCTGGTAACCACAAGTCAACTTTGATCTCTATAGGTATGCCTAGTCAAGTATTTCATGTTAGTGGGATTGTGCAGTATTTGTCCTTTTGAACTGACTTATTTCACACAGCATAATGTTTTCAAGGCTCACCCATGGTGTAGCGTGCCTCAGGATTTCATTTTTAAGGGTTGCTCTCTGCATTTCAAAATATTTTGCATTAAACATAATAAGAGGAATTTTAGGTAGCAGGACAATGAATTTCTTAAAACAATTTGCAAACTGCTCATGTTTGGGTAAATTTAGTTTTATTTGAAGAAACAGCACCTTTTTATCCTGCTTAATGGGAGCTATTTTTCAGGGTCTTTTTTTTTTTTTT